ATGTTAATAGGTAGAGGTTTTGTATTTTAATACGTATTGCAAACATAATTTGGTGTATACACCAATCTTTCTGTTAGCCCCGAATATCTTTTAAGAACGTTTTTTGGTTTTTTGGGGGGAAAGAAAAAAACTACAGTCGACATCATCGCAGTTATTGTGCATTTCACTGGAACAAACGGTCATTTCATAACATATTGCCGGGATAAGATTACTGACATTTAAAGTAAATTTTCAGCCAAAGCCAGACTAATTTAGATGAAGGTATAACCTATATAATCTGAATAGGTATAGCATAGTACTTTCACTATATCTATTAAATGTTAATCAGTGTAAAGTGTTAAGGTCAATAAAAATACCGGTAATCCTGTCAATACGACTGTCAGTTCAAAATTCAAACTTAATTTTTAGTAGTAGCCACATAAAAACTATAAATTTTTTGTATTGCATAGATATAAGAAGATGTGGTATGAGTGCCAATGAGACAACTCACAAGTCACAATTTGTAAAAGTAAACCATTATAGGTCAAAGTACGGCCTTCAACACGGACTATATTTTTCAGATGAAGCTGTAATCTAATTATATTTTTTTAAGTTTAAGTTTCTTTCTGCCGTCAGTTGGGGTCGCTACTGACCCCCTACGGATCCATAGAGGGTACGTCAAATTTATAGGGCGTGCAACCGAAGGCCTAATCTCCTTTGGGTTTTACTCATCCTCTATGGTCCGTAGGGGTCAGTAGTGAACCGGATAACGAATTTATCGAACGCAGGTCTTTTCCTGCTGTGTTTTTTAGACAGATAAACAGTGAAATACAATAATATCAATAGATGACGTCACCATTAACAGTAGACATGACGTCATGAACCCACTATGAGATTAATTAGCCCCTACGATCCCATAGGGGGTCACCACGTGACGGCGTTTAACCAATCACAACGTCTTTATTTACCCGCGGTGCGACAATAGACTATATTCCAAAGCAGCTATATAGTCCGTCGTGTATTTCCAGGAGGAAAAATGTTTGAAAAGTTGTTTGTCTTAATCTAACTAAATGTGCAAGCTACATATACCTTAAATGAACAAATGTCTCCTTAGAACCAGAATACATTTTGAAATTCACGTGTCAAACATATAGAATTGTTCATCTTTTTATAGTTTTGACCCATCTTTAATAGTTTTTAAAAAAAAGTGTACAATGCATGTGGTTAGAATAACAGACAGTCAGACACATTTATGCATATACATGCACTCCAAAAATGGAAGATAGTTAATAAAAACAAAATTACTTTTGGGTTTTATTTATCTATAGATATTTATCAAATAGTTGATTCAATCTTTGATGAGCTATTTTGGTGTAAAAATATGTAGTTTTATTCTTCAATATTTACTCCTCTAACATGGTGTGTACTATTATCCAATAGAATATATTTTCTAGATTATATGTATACGTTTCTTATGTTTCTGGTTAAGATTAGTATATGGCAGTTTTCCCCTTTTGAATTAAATATACATTGTATTGTACTGTCCCTTTCATATGTTCATTTGGGAACTAAGTCATTTTTTTTTTTATTTTCGCCAACTATCAATATACAACATATACAGAAATATTTCTTACTTTGATATATATAAATCCTATCAAACAGCCATCGTTAGAATAATTACCTATATTGAAAAATATTATAGAAAAATGTTGTAACTGGGTTAAGGATAATTCATGGATAAGTGTATGACATGTATTGATGATTATTTGCATGACAGACAGGGACAGGTTTTCCCTCTGACGACAATATTGTAAGACAATATTATGTCATTATCAAAAATCAAATATTGACAGACTTGGCAAGGAAATAACATTAGTTGGCATTGACGTTTTGGCAACAAGGCGCAGGGCATTATGTTTATAGTGATAATTTAATCTGTATTACGATAACTGCATTCAATGTAAATACCATTCATTTATTACGTGTGTGCATTTTTTTTTCAATTTACTGTTATATCACATGTATCATAAGCTCAAACCTTATTATTTGAAAACAAAGGATTAGAAACATTATCATAGTAGTATGAAAACAAGAAAAATATGAAAAAATCTGACTCAAAAAGATGTTTAAAAAAAATCAGAAGCATGAACTAATATAGAAAACATGTTGTTTTCTTTTCCCGTTCGTAAGATTAAAACATATATGTTCATTATACAAGCATACTACTGACACGTTGGAAGTAATTAACTTTCAATCTATATCACTATTGCATCTCACGCTACATATATATAAACAGAATCGAAGTAGTAATAATAATCATTATAGAACTAAAACGATCAAATTTGAGTTGATTAAGTTTTTAGCTATACCTTATCAAATCATGAACATATAATAAGCTCACGTGCTGTCGAAATGAAAGATACGTAAAAGTTTCATCTATATCAATTATCTGTTTAACAGTTCAGGTTAAAAAAGCTCAATTAATTGTTTACATTATAACGGCAAATGTTCAAAAATATTATAGTTAGAACGCAATCATGTGTGACAGTGTTGGATAATTCTTAATGTAACGTTAATTCATTAATGTTTTGAACAAAATGATAACGTTTTCGTAATATGTAACAAACCTTCAGTTGGTGCAAGACCCTTACATCGAGAGTTTATGTCTGTCGTATATTTGTTAGGTACACTATAGAAAAATATAACTACCGATCTGAAAACTCTGATGCATGGTAAAACATGTATAATATAGATTTAAAAACGCTAAATCTTTGCAAGGTGCAGCATCAGATTAAAACTGCCAATCGTTTTTCTTAATGTATAGACAGAATTGCCAATTATATAAACAGCTATAGTCTATTGTCTTGTTTTGTTGACATCGAATGAATTGGTTCGATTTATTCAAAGACATTGATCATTCATTGATTTTATATATAATATCATATTAGTTGACAATACTAATGGGTTTGCCTTGAAAATAAAAACATACTTGTAGAGTTAATATTCATTCCCAGATAAAAAATCCGTCTTGATTTTTAATAGTTAATTTTTTACGGTCAACTCGACTTTTAGAAATCGATGATTCACGTCGTTTAAATTCTTTTTCATTTCATGTCTCCATATTAATATCATAGTAAATGTGATGAGTTTATCATTATTTGAAGCATGTAATGTAAAAGACGTTCTAAGTTGAAAAATATTGTCTGATCCTATTGGAATTGTTTTTGGACAATAAAATATGGTTAAACTATTTGTAAGGTGTTTTATTTTTTGCTTGGTACCGATAATATAACTGAAGTCTTATATATTTATAACTTATTTATTCTGGTTGTTTCATGTTGTCTTGATAAATGACCAATTTCGTGGTATCTGTCTTTTTGTTGTACCATAGGCATAATTCTACAATAAATGTCGCCCCATGATGCTTGAGGCAAAAAAAATATGAAAATCCAAAACTTTAAAAAAAAGAATGAAGAGCTTATGAACTACATAGGACACAATTCATTACCAAAGTTGGGCAAGCAATCAGAAAAAAATTCATAAAGTAAATATATTCCTAAATTAAGCACAACGTAAAATTTTAACAGCAAATTTTATAAATACGTTCGACTAGACTAAATAGCCTTGAAATAATTCGCATTCATTTGTTGTATTTACCCTTCAAAATTTATCATGTGCCGTTTTGTTGGACTATCAATGCATATGCAATGTCTGTTATTAAACAGTACTAATAACATTCTTTAGTGTTTCTGTTGGTGTTTTTTTTTTTTTTTTGTCTGCATGAACAATCACTGAACTGTAAGATTAGGATGTTGTTTTTTTTTTATATCTCAGATGTCCTGTGATGCGGGGAAGCAGATTTCTATGCGATTTTGATGTTGTTGATTTTTTTTTCTCCTTATTATATGATAAACAAACTGGATAGTTATTGTTTATTCTATTTGTCTTTGCAAATATTGTTCGAGAAGAACACTATCTGTAATATAACTGCTATATTTAATAAGTATGAAACATAGCAAACGCTACCTCAAATCTGGTGAACAAAATGTATATCTTAGTTTCGAAAGAAATAAGTATCCTTGATATCATGAGATTCATTGTTCAGCGTAATTGACACAGGCCTAATATTTCTGTGTCTATTTTTCTCAGAACGCCTATACCTTAATATATATACGAACTATGTATAATACAAAAATTCAACTAAAAAAGAAACTAATTTATTTACAATCGTACTTCTTAATAAACATGAACGAGTAGTAAACCTCGTCTCATTTCCATGCAATTTTGAATGGAAAATAGGTTTTCCTAGGTGAAAATGTAAATATGTACAGGGAAAGTATGTTCATGCTTTATTTTTTTATTTTGTTAGCATATTCCCATTAAACCACACATTTATGAAGTGTAATTTTCAGTAAAGTGTTCTATGTCTTCTGATCATAAGATATGCACTAAAATATATTCTATAAAATGTTCCAGCATATCTTACAGAACTTCATATCATGGGTATTTTGTCATCAGGTACGATATTCAATAGGGACATCATAACTCAAACATAGTAGATGTCAAAATATTATTTAATGTTTCCAATCCTCCGTATCATCATTATCGATTTTCTTGCATACATCCCGCTAAGTGTCTGCCATAGCAACATGTTGTACAATTTCCTGTTAAGAGAACTTTTATCGCAACCATTATGCCACCATGGTCCAACCAATTTGGCACAATTAATAACACAAGTCCCTTTCGGCTGTAGAGAACTTCATCCCATTGTGGTAAGTCAGCGAATCACCTAAAAAAGATAAGAACACGTATAATTAAATGTGTACAAATGAGTAAAGGCAATGTGTGTTAACCTCTAAATATATGATGTATGTATACATTTAAATGGATGTTATTGATATGAATCCATAATGTGTGTATACGTCAATGGGACAGCAACCTATTGACAGAACATAACTACAAGACTACTAAATCGCTAATCGAAGATCTACAAAACAATACTACTTACATTAGTGTTCTGTTCATCCATTTGCTGTTCATAAAGGATATATTTTTATTATTTACCAATATAGTTTTTATTGCACTTAAAAAAAAGAAATCACTTTCTAGAAAAGAACATGATAACATTCTTGCCTTAAAATGATAGGTATACAGGTAATTTTTCAATCAATGTATTAAAGTTCTTTGGAAATCCAACCAAATGTAAATTTTTCAATGATATTTCAAATAGACAACTGAAGCAATACATAACTACGCTTTATCTCTAAATAATGTTACCTTCAATATTCCATTAAACTTACATTTTGACATATCACGTAACTACGACTTTCTTCAACGATTGTACATATCTAAATAGCAGTACATAATTAGTCTGCAAGGGCTCTGATTATAGTACATGTGAATCTAGGACACATCTTCTTAATTTAAAATTATTGTCTAGAATTGTGAATCCTTTTTTTTTTAAATATTGCAGCTGTTGCGTATCTTGATAAAACATTTCAATCTATGTCTGTATTGTTATCATTTAGAGAAGTTAACATACAAAGGGCATATATTCCTCTATGATCGGAAGTTTTTATTTAAATGTTGTGATAACTTTATCAATGCTGTAAAGCTTGTTATTATCGCGTGATGCCTATATTGATAGTTTAAAGTGAAACTTGATATTAAGTGAATAACATTCACATAGAGTCAATGAACGCAAAATAATTATATGTACGACATATTTGTGATACTAATGGCTATTTTGACTTCATAAATTTACTTATATCAACACAGTCATCATGTTCATGTTCATATCACACAACAAATAGACTATATTGTTATAAGTGGTTCCCATTGGTCAATTTTCTTTTTCACCGCCTCTTTCGCCAGAACAATACAATTTCGCCACTTTCAAACACTTTACATCTTATTTTATTTTCCTTCTAACAAAAACAAAAAAAATAGCAGTCTACTGCATTGTTGTTTTTTATGATAATTCTTCAAGTGGTTTTTTTTTTCAATCAACATTGCAATAAATAAACACTAAACAATTCTTTTGCAAATGATAATTTTTACTATTTCTCAAAATGCGAAAATGGCGAACGACAGCGGATACCCTGATTGGTCATATTTTTACTGGAAATTGCAATTATCATTGATGATTCTTGCAACCAGTGACTTAAAGATGGAAATAACTTTAAAATGATTTTCCATTAATGTCCTTTTTCAGATATAACAAAACATAAAGGTCAAACAGGGATAAAAAAAAACGTTGTAGTGTTATTTAGTACGTTATGCACGCGAATTTCCTACGTTAGAGTAATTTTTAGTGCATGAAATCGATCAGGGTAAAGTCAAGTTGCCTTTTAAAATCAATATTATCCCATACATAACATATTAATTCCATGAACAACATGAACAATGAAAACCATAATTAACATTTGCTTTACACATTATCGACAATAATGTATTTTGTTGAATAGTATGGCGTGATAAGATAAAAATAAGTATGTTATTTTTCCCAATCCGTGATCCTTCCCCCTGTACTTTTATAAAACACTTGCTTAAATTGCGTCTGGACTAACTTTTTTGTAAGTAATGACATAAATATGTTTGTCATTTTTGGAACGATGGTTCTGACTTAATTTTAGGTATTGATAGTGCATTGTAAAAATAATTCAATACTAAAAGATTGATTATGAATCAAAAACATATGAGTCGAAGAAAGACAGACAATGCCAAGGGAATGAAAAGACAAAAACATAAACAAAAATTATTTAACATCATTCAAAGCACTGAATGTTCCACAATAGACACCACACACGACAAAAACATGATGTCATAGAAAACTTATAAATAAAAGCAACAGTAGTATAACGCTGTTCAAAAGGCATTAATCGATTGAGAAAGAACAAATCCGGGTTACAAGCCAAAACCGAGGGAAACACATCAACTATAAGAGGAAAACAACGAAATAACAGAACACTGAAGTGCACAACAAGGCAACATACATAGAAACGAACTATAAGATAACAACTGCCATATTCTTAACTTGGTACAGGACATTATAGGGAAAAATGGTGGGTTGAACCTGGTTTTGTGGCTAGCCAAACCTCCGCGTTATTCAAAATGAAAAAAAAAACTTACAGTCCAACCTCCACTGTCAGTGTTCATATCACAAAACGCTTTCACTTTTTCTGTTTTGTGAACAAATATTTGGTAAACACCGGAAGGTACTTGAGCTTTCCGTAATTTGGTGCAGTCATTTGGCTTTTCCATCCGTCCACATATGCCTGCATTATATATTTAATACAGTTAAAGATCTGTTAATGGCGGTTTTCATTAATTCTCTTAAATACTAATGTCAACTGACTGTAAAACATGTAGAACATATTGAAAATCTCATACCCATTGATCAAAGAAAAGAGACTTTTTCCATTTTGATTTTTGATTTGCATTCTTGGTTTTTCTTGTGCTTTTGTGTTTCAATATAATCAATACTTATGAAGACACATGGACAATTTGAAGAAAGTAACGAAATTGTATTTACCTTTTACCTCATGTTTCAGCGATCTGATAATTCTTGAAATTTCCTTTTCGTCACCAGATTCTATTCAATTGACATGCAACAATATGAGGAAAAACTTTCATTAAATTTCTATATAGTTATTATGATTGATTAATCCTTTATTAGAACGAGCATGTATCATGTTTATGTGGCAGCATGTTTTTTCCAAAGTTAATGGTATATATAATATATGTCATATAGAAGCATATCTTTATTAACATTAAGGTAAAATCCAAAAAATAATCTGATTGAACTGCATGAATTTCAAAATCAGACCGGGTCCATCAACAAAATAAGCTTCTCCTACTATGTATGCATGTCCCATAGTGTGAATATACACGCATACAAAGCTCAGGGAGCAATGATCTTTTATTTGCAATTTTCCTCATCCACCCCCTATTGAGTAGAAATTACCATTATCGAAGCTTTCGACATTTACATAACTCAACTGGTACGATTTATCATTGTGGTCATTTAACAAATTGAAGAATACTCTACGTTCTAATTTACTACAACGCTTTATTACGAAAAGTTATTTCCACAATTCCCTACCTTCAATGACCATGTTTTGCTCTGTGCATTCTCTAATTGCTTATTTACTTATATCTCGCATGTTTCATTTCTTTGTGCATGGGCGTTCCTTGTGAGAGAGGTTTTAGAAAAGCCCGTTGGACACAATGTTATCAAGTATTATTTTCATAATTTAGTTTAACTTAATGGGGGAATACTTTCAATGTATAGGCGTAACAATACATACAAACCTTCTGGGATCCATTTAATATCACTCTTTAATTGTTTTTTCATTTTAACTGTATCCTTATGCACTGCCATATCTGACACAAAAACAAAATACAATACTCACCAGATAAAACAAAACAGTTTGATAATATTGAATTTGGTATGTATGTATTATTGTTAGTGATTGGTATAAAGATTTACCACTACTCCTATCAGTTACATATCATGGTATTAGAAAACCAGTTGAAACGATAGTAGAAAACAAAGGAGATTAAAATGTGCTTGATTGAACATAACAATTGTTTTATATAATTTCATTTTTGTTCAGTTTTATCACCTATAAACAACACTTACCGGCACTAAGTCGACAATGTCCGTCTTTTATTGGTAACCGGCTTGCACATTATATATTTTGTGTAAGAATCTGCCTCTAGAAACCTGTTGGTTAATTATGGGTTTGCTAATGTGTGATTTAAATTTAAATCTCGGTTTTAATGTTGTTGATATTTTCTCATGTCTTACAATCTCTACTTTGTAATAACAAATAGACCTTCGACATAATGTTGAAAGGTGATAGATATATAAGATGAACAGTAAATAAGAAACACAAATTCAAAATTTCTTCAAATACATACTCCTTAGAATGGCTTGCATATCCTCTTTCCACTTCTTAGCATCTCTGTGTGGATTTCCATTAACACAAGTTCCTATAGTTAAATCAAATAATGATGCATTCGCAAATCAAGTAATTATAGATAACAAAATTGGAAAGTAAGAGAAAATGGTTGGGAGGTGTGTTGGCTATTTTAAGATAAAATTCTGTTTTAAATTAAGCACCTTAATATTGTAATTGTTGTAATTTTAACTACCACTGACAAGTGGACATATAGGTAACCGTACAACTTCAACAGTTTGTAAAACCCATACTGTAGAGCTAGCTATAAAATGCACGTACATGAAAAGATTAAAAACAATGGCACCTAAAAAACTGACGGCCATATTTTTAAAAAACTGCAAAACAATTTTACAGAATGCAACAGACGACAGTCACTGAATATCTGGCTCTAGTTTAATTTTCATAAAATGATACTGACTAGTTTACATATTATTATATTCTATTCTATATGTATAAAGGGTTTCCGCTGTGTCAACTTTCTTTTTTGCCACCTCTTTCGCCAAAACAATATATTTTTCGCCACTTTCATTTGTTTTTCGCCAACTAACAACATAAACAATTTTTTTTTAATTTTGCTTCTTTTGAACAAAAAAATCAGTTTGCCCAATTGTTGTCTTTGGTTATTCTACATATCGTTTTTTTTCTACATTGCAATGAATAAACACTACACATTTACTTTTCAAAGGATGCGGTAAAATTGGAATATAGATCATGATATCATATTTTTTTTATTTCTAGGAACACGAGATTCATCTTCAATAAGTTTATCGGATATATGTTTTGCTGTCTAGTTGAAGGATAAAAAATAAAGTCTGAGATTTTTCTTACAATTGATTTCATTTCTTCGTAGCAATTGTTTTCTATTCCGAGCCATTGGAAAAAGAAAAAAACAAGAACAAAAACTATGCTTGAAACATGTGCGTCGCCGAAACAGTTAAAAAATACTGCTCCCAGCTTTAAATCAATTATCAAGTCAGGAATATGACAGTTGTTGTCCATTCGTTTGATGTGTTTTGTCATTTGATTTTGCCATGTGATTAGGGACTTTCCGATTGAATTTTCCTCGGAGTTCAGTATTTTTGTGATTTTACTTTTTTCTATCAAAGTAAGAGAGAAAAGTTTTATAAAGTCATATTTTTCTTGCTTTTAAACAGTTTTTTTTTCGGACCATCCTTTATTAAAAAGAAAACGAGGAGACGTAAAACGATGCTTCAAACACGTGCGTTGCAACGTTTTAAATAAATCCTTTAGTTGACATGTGGCCCACTTAACCACATCCTTTTGTAAAATAGTACAATCAACACCTTTATGAATTAGTCTTTAAAGTTTGTTGCCTACAGCTATAAAATGCACTTGGCTGATTATTGATTTTTCTGGCAAAGTTGTAAAGAGTTCAAGGTTAATTCTTAATATTGTCTGATCACTTAAAGTTCAAGAAACCCGACAAAAAGTAAACAATATGGATGAAATTGAATTGTTATATTTCTTTCGCAAAATTCGTTCACCATTAATGAAATTTAATCGCCATAATTTTTTTTACCACCAGCGGAAACCCTATATATAAGATATAAAGGCGCGTCTGAATATTTTTACTAATAAATGCATACTTACCACAGGGAGTCTCTGCATATGATTTTGGTTCATACGAGCGGGTTAGATTTCAAAATCACCTACCCATATGTTATAATCTTGACCCATGAAAAAAATTCATGACAAAATCATAACCTTTTCATACTAGTATATTTCTCAGTAGCACTTAAAACAATTATTGACATCTTAATTTGATTTTAAATTATAAAACAGCATATTTTTAGAGATATATACTGGAAAATGAAAATAATTGAATCATTGACATTTTTCTGGGTACAGTTACAACCCATTGAATAATTTGAATCATTCATGTATAACACATATTCAAGTAGATAAACTTTGAGCAAAATAGTTAGATAACATGATAACTTTATGTTTTCTGATATATGAAATAACAAACTTTCGAGCCTCCTAACTTTGAAAACATTGAATTACCAGATAAAACGATATTTAAGGTTATAAATATCAAAGTTTTTTTTCTAAATTCTAAGTAACATTAATCTTTATGATTCAGAAAAATGCAGACACGCAAAACTAAGATGATGCTTTTCTCAAACAATGCATATATATTTAATGAGAAATTGTAAGAACTAATATAAACATTTCAACCCGAAGAATTTGGTTATTTTTAGACGAAATAAATGTAATAATCTAAAAAGGTTGAATTGAGTCTCAGATATAGAACTAAATGCTTGCATTGCTTAATGAAAGTTGCACAATGACCCAAAGATGATGAGCATATTCTGAATATATTAGGAGAAAGTACATTAGAAATACAACATGAAAACGTTACCTTGTATGTCTTGTAAAATGTCACTAGCTCTTGTCTTTTTTTCTGATTCTCGATACTCTCTTAACTCTGAAAATTATATTGCAATAATAAGACATGTCGCACGTTTCTTGGATTAAAAACAAGTTTTGCAAGGGTCCCGTAATTTCGTTTATATATATGAAGTCGAAAAATGATTTCAATAAATCATATTATTCATATCCGTGTGACTAGTACAGTGTTAAGCATGTCTTGGAGTTTGATATAGAAACCTGAACTCTGTAAGACATAACGGAGCCTTTCATTGCTGAATATGCGGTATGGGTTTTGCATGGCGACCTATACCTGCTGTGTCATTTGGACTCGTATTGAGAGTTTATTATACAAATACAAAATGTTAAATATTATAAACTATTGTTCCTTAATTCTCCCTTTTTCATTTGATATTTCATTTTAGCCTTATTTTTGTTTCGCACTTCTCAAGATGTTACCCTCATTCCTGTTATTGCTAATCAAACACTTTGGCCAAATATTTCTCTGATATTGACGTTGTTCCATTACCATTATATTATAAAAATCTTGGTTTCAGTTAAACAATGTTTAAAGAAGCAAATAACAGTGTCAGGAATAATAAAAATGGCTGAATGGTTACATATCTTCCCTATACCATTCAATTACGAAGCTTGACAGCAATTGTGAAATGATGTTCAGACGAACAGTTTAAAATTTGAATAACAATTTAAATAATTTGCAGGATTTGTGAAAATATGTGTGGGAGTTTGCAACAAATGCAATCGAAATTAGTTCGGATATATTACCAATTTATAGTTTTATTATGTTTAACAAATCGTTTGTATTCTTCTCCTGTGAAATGATAAAATTGAGAATGGAAATGGGGAAAATGTCAAAGAGACAACAACCCGACCATAGAGCAGAAAACAGCCGAAGGCCACCAATGGGTCTTCAATGCAGCGAGAACCTCCCGCACCCGGAGGCGTCCTTCAACTGGCCCCTAAACAAATATGTATACTAGTTCAGTGATAATGGACGTCATACTATACTCCAAATTATTCACAAGAAAATAAAATTTAAAATGATACAAGACTAACAAAGGCAAGAGGCTCCTGACTTGGGACGGTCGCAAAAATGCGGCGGGGTTAAACATGTATTTTGAGATCTCAACTCTCCCCCTATACCTCTAGCCAATGTAGAAAAAAACATACAACAGTACGCACAGTAAAACTCAGTTTAAGAGAAGTCCGAGTCCGATGTCAGAATAGGAAACAAAATAAAATAAACAAAATGACAATAATACATAAATAACAACAGACTACTAGCAGTTACTGACATGCCAGCTCGAGACCTCAATTAAACTGATTGAAATCAAATGAATATCAGGCACAATCCCTCCTGTTAGGGGTTGAGTATCATAACATCATAAAATATATGAGAAGAACATAACCCGTGTCATGATACCTTTTTATAGCCTTTCTATGGAATGTAACGAATGTGTCGGAGTTCTTCATATTTGATCCAAAAACTACCACCGGACTACTATTATTACAATATGAAATTAAATATGCATTGCACAATTCGGAAGACATGCGGAATACCGGTGTTTTTCTTTCTTGTGAATCATTTCTATATTGGTTAAGTAAAACATAACCATAAGTTTGGTGTAATCTATAAATTTTAACGTTCATCTTTAAAAGTATTGAAAGCTTGTTTTATTTAGTTCGTAATTTTATTCACCGTCTTGACATTATACTTCAATAGATAGTTATTTCACCTTTGTTTATACCATACAAACTGTTGCCAAAACAAATTCGTAAAACTTTAACTTACAATGATGCAAAGCGGTGTATTTGATATACATTGTGTACGTTCTTAATGTGCGATCACAACAAAAAAAAGTATCTTACCTTTTATGTCTTTTGTTTCCGAAGAAGAATTTACAGTGAACAAAAGTGACACCACGAAAAAAATCTGTAACATACTGAACAAATGCTGTTTCATAGCAAATAAGAACAATGAACTGGTTGTGTTGAAATAAACAAAAGTATCATTTGATACAAAATTATTTTGTTGCATGTTATTTTTTTCAAAAACGTGTCATCTTTCACAGGTTATCAGATGGTGCACTTTGTTTTCCTTCACTCAACATACCAAATTCGATTATTCGATAGTTTAATTACAAAATAAAGATAATAAGTTGTGCATTTGAAATAATGTCAAAATTCTTAAAAACTAAGATGTTGAATTAAATTGTGTGAAGCATTACACTACCTTTGTTATTTTTTGCTCAATTGACTTTCGTTCATATCATTTCTTTAAACATTGTTGTGACGTCATTATATTGTTGCTAAGTTGTTTATTGTTGTACCCGTTCTTTATGTCAGTTATTTATTAGCATCTTTCTTAAAAAATATTAGACAGCTAGAAAAAGCATAATTGATTTTTACAGGTAAATGATAATTCAAGAACTGAAAAACAAATCAACCAATTCACACAATTGGCAATGTGTTTCTTCATTTTGAAATATTGACTACAAAAGAACAAATCACAATTACAAAAAAATACGTATTTATCACTTTGCAATACAATAATTTCGTCACTCATCAAGACGGTTTCTTGAAGAAAAAAAACGCTTTTAAATTGAGTTTTAACACTGC